GCTGCTGCTGCTGCTGCTGCTGCTTGCCCTTGCCCTTGCCCTTGGTCGGGGTTCCATGGTTACTGGCGGATGCCGCACCGCGCAGGCCCGAACACAGATGCTCGAGAAGCCACTGCGAGAGCAGCTCCGCTTTCTTTGGGACGAAGAACTCCTGTGATTTCCATGCCTCTGATGCGATTGAGACCTTGCTGATGCCGTTGGCTGGTGTCTGAGGAACACGGAGGGTCTTGACGAGCTGCTCCGAGGTGGTGATACTGGCCGCGGCCAATGCCGATGTGCCGGGCTCGGCCCCCGTAGCGCCCCCGTGTGGACGCACAGCTGATGGCATCCCGATTCAAGGCCTGAAGAACTGCCTGCCAAAGTGAAGTGATGACGCTGGAGGTGGTGAACGTAGGATCCGCCTCGGAGTTGGCGAGCGAAGGCCAAACCTGTGTGGAGGCTTTCTGGCCAAGAAAATGTTCAGCATGGCTGCGAGCAAAAAAAAAATAGTGCGTGCAGACCCTTGTATTTTTCGGGGAGTCCCAGCACTTTTTCCCTAAAATCGCGGATCTTCTTATCGGCCGAAACGCGGCCCGCGTCGTTCTGGCTCAGAAGCTCGACATCTGCCGCATCTCACTAACCTCTTTCTCGCCAGGCAACCAACTCCCAACATCCTACGCACGCCCTCCTCGATTCGATACCTGACAAGATGTTGCAAGCAGCACTGCGCGTTGTGTCGAAGCCGTTGCGCACGGCTGTGACCGCACAGGCACAGGTGCGATGCTGCTCCTCTGCCACCTCGGCCGCCATGCTCAAGGCCGCCATGAACACAGCCGCACGCCCTGCTACACCAGCGCTCCAGCAATCGGCAGCAATCGCATCTACAGCAGCCCAGCAGCGTGGAATGAAGGTGCGCTCGTCTGTCAAGAAGTTCTGCGACGGCTGCTCCGTCGTTCGCCGCAAAGGCAGGCTCTATGTCATTTGCTCCAAGGACCCAAAGCACAAGCAGGTACGTCGGCCGGCCAACACTGATCTGAACAGACAGCAGCGAACAGTTGCTGATGCCTTTTCTGCTGCCTTTGCTCATCTCTACAGCGCCAGGGATGATTCTCAACCATTAAACTACATCGGCTGCATCCGACACCGCCCATCCCCTGTATTTGTACGCACCACAGAAAACACGACTCGATTCACTCAACAGACCGTCGGTCAGACTCTTGAACGTCACTCGTCCAGGTCAGCAGCCTGCATTTCATTTCGGCACAGAGTGGAGATGGTCAGGGGCTACAATTGCGAGCCTAGCTAGTGGGCTGGAAGCCGGCCTCCTTCTGCTGAAGCAGCGCCTCGATCTCGCGGATCTCGGTCTCGACATCGGCCATGCGCTGGTTGACGCTGGTGAGGCGCTTGTTGAGCTTCTCCTCGTACTCTTCGTCCGTGACGCTCCTGATGGGCATGGCATTCTTCACCTTGGACAGCCACGAAGCCGACTTCTGCGGCTTGGCCTCCTGCATCTCGCTTGCGGACGGTGTAGGCTGCACGTCAGCCATCGGCGCCACAGCCTGCGATGCCGACACAGCCGCATCGGGGCTGGATGGCGAAGCGGCCACCGGGACAGGACGCGGCGAGGGTCGAAGCAGTGCATCGCGCACAATGCGCGTTTCGTTGCCTACTAATTGCAGCGCCGTGCACGCCAGGCCGAAAGTCGCCACGCCCTTGTGAATCGCTCGTGGCCCTCGTGTGAAGGCGGCAGCGCCCGCACCCACCACCGCACCCGCCAGCCCACTGGCGAGCAGATTGTGCGTGTGGCGGTTGGGCGTCACCGTGCGCAGCCGCATGCTACGGTTGGCCGGATCAGGCCCACTCGACGTGCGGTTCAGCACGGGCGACACCACGTACTCGCGCACCGCAAAGAACGGAAACGCAAAAGCAAACGAGCTCATCGCCATCCTTGTGCCCAGAATCATTCCTGCACCTTGACGCCCCTTGAGCACGCCGTAGGCCGACCCGAAAAGGCCTCCTCCTAGAGCAGTGAGCAGCGAGCCTTTGACGACCTGGATGGGCGCATCCGACTCGATCTCAACCCCACTGCTGGGCGCCCGCTCCTCATTGATCGACAGGATGCCGTAGCCGCGTCGGCCGTTCGCCCGGCTTCGTTGCGTAGCATCTTTGTCTCCACCGGCCGGGTCGTCAAGGAACTCGCCGCCACCCCACCCGCTCGACTGCGGGGAAAAGCTCGCGGGCGACGACCAGCGCGGATCGTCTTGGTCACCCGAGAGCGTCATCACCGGCTCGTCGCGTGAGCGCGGCGCGGGCCGAGATGGGCGCGAGGGCGGTGCGCTGTTGGGAGAGCTGAACTGAGCGCCCTGCGATGGCGTGTCGGACGGCTCTGCTTGCGCCGATCCTGAGCGCGAGTACGCAGTGCGCGCGTTGTCCTGGCGGATGCGCTCCCACTTGCTCGGCTCCACACTACGCTCACCCCGCAGCTGCGCCCAGCGCGTTCCAGCACCTGTGCCCGGAGGCGACTCAGTGTCGTTCGACGGTCCAGCAGCCGGCATACCGGCGTTGCCGCGAACATTTCTCGTGCTGGAAGACGGCTGCGAGGACGAGAACGAGTCGAACGAATCCGAGCCTCCCTGTGTCTTGAGGTTTCCCGTACTGTCGAACGAGGCCGCCTCTGGCTGTACGGCGCGTTCGCCGCCCCACTCTTGCTGAGCGTCGGTCTCGCCATCCAAATCCTTGGGCGGGGCGACGCTCACCTGCGGCTTGCGTCCCTGGCGCTGCTCCTCGATGGCGCCCGCCAGCACCATACGCAGATGCTGGGGGTCTTCCACATCTTTAAGCGCACCGCGGCTCATCATGATGCCGATGGGCATGGTGAGGAACGAGCCTCCAAGCCCGCCCACCACACTCCATCCGAGCTTCGAAAGAAGACGCGGCGGCGGTTTGCGCCGTCCGAGCAGCACAAACGTTCCGGCAGCGCCCAGCATCCAACCGCCGTACTTTGTGGTGTCGACATTGCGCTTGATGGTCTTGAGCGCCGCGAGCTCGCGCTGAGTGAGCTGCTTTTCCGACTGCGTGCCCGCGAGGCCAGGCAGCCGAGTCGTGCCGTTGCCTGCCGCGTTCGGGCTCTGCACCGAGCTGTCCATGATGCTGGCCTCCGCGAGCGACCGAATTTGTTGCGAAGAAATGCGGGGCGTCGGCGTGTGTGAGCGGGGTCGATGCAACGATCCTGACCGTCGTGGCGATAGCTGGGTCGAGCACGTGTCCTGGTCTTCAGTCGGCATGGACGGAAGCAGAAGGCTTACTAGAAGGCGGGTCCACCTGTGCCTGCACGGATGCTGACTGTCCGGTCTCTTCGTCGAGGCAGAACCGCAGCCCAGAATAGATTGACGAAAAGTGGAGGCCAGCTTAGTCGCTCGACTTAACAGCCATGTGGTGAATTTTGGTATTGTTAGGTCCGCTACATAGCCTTGCTTTTCGAGGTCGGCGCATCTTGGAGCGACCTTGAGAGGGAACCTATGACCGTCAGCCGTGGTCTGCGTGATGCTCACTTGTCCTCTGAATCATGCTGCTGCGTCTCGAGGAGTAAGCATTAGCTCGGTTTGCATCATATCTGGGGTGTGCATCGTCCAACATCTGAGCGAAGCAAAGTAGCATTCGGTCTACGGTATAGTGAGCATGTTCCTTCCGTGCCGGGCGGCAAGAACTCAGCACAACTCTGTTCAGCACGTGCTACCACCGCTGCCACTAAAGTAGCTGAATGCACGCGAGACGGACGCGATCGCGCCGCTGGCTGTGGCATTGGTGGCGGCGGGCTTGGACGGCGCACCAAGGACACGGGTCGTGACGAGTTTGTCTGCCGTCGCCTCGGCCTCGCCAGCCTGCTGCGCTGCACCTGGGAGCTTTGGCAGCCCGATCCCCAGCCCTGTTCCGCGCTTCGCTTGCTGGCTCGTCCCGGCCTCATGTCCGGCATCGTCCTTCACAGGAGGCAGCGAAACCGCCGCCGAGCGCAGCGCGATCTCGTTCTTGCCAATATGACTCCTGCGCGTCGTATGGCTGGTAGGTGGAGCCGCGGCGACAGTGACCATGAGGTTCTTGATGTTGGGCAGTGTATGCCTTATATCGATAACGGTGACCGAGTGAACATTCATGAGCTGTTCGATGTCCTTGTTGAGCAAGAATGCCGCATACTCGTATCGGTACCTCTCCATGCCCTTGGCATACAGCGGGAAGGCGCGCGGACCGCTCATGAGCGAGATGCCGTCCTGCACCACGGCTCGACTGCCCGCCGTTGCCAGCGGGTAGTGGATCGGCGTGGCCAGATACGTGCTCAACAGCAGCACCAGCTGGGCCACCATGCCAAATGCGCTGCTGATCGTATCGTCGTCGAATGGATGGAAGATGGGTCGAGTCGTTGCAGGCACGTGGTGTCTTACGGTGTCCTTCCACCGCTTCTCCTCATGCGCAAGCTCGGCGGGCGGCAGCGATGCAACAGCGTTGGGCAGCGGCAGGCCACAGATGGAGAAGAGCAGTGACGATGCGTCGGATAACTCGACGGGGAAGATGATCTCGAGATCGCGCAACAACGACGCTTGCTGCGAGTGGACATCGAGCGACACATCGGCCCGTATGCTGCGCAGCGCGCTCAGCTCGTCTCGAAGCTGCTTGTCCGTACGCTGTGCGGCCTCGAAGAGCGCGCCAGATGCACGCATCGCATTACGCCGCGCCTCGAGAGCCGCCTTCTTGGACTCGAGCTCGGCCTTCCTCCGCTCGAGCTCGCGCACCTCGTCGCTGGCCAATCGCCGCACGTCCTCGCATCGTGCTGCTTGCTGCTCCCGCTTGAGCCGGAGCTGTATTTGTCCAGAAGGCTCCCGCAGCATGCTACCGCTCTGCTGCCTCAGCGCTTCCACTGCAGCAAACATCGCCCTGAGCTCGGCCTGCTTTCGAGCCACGTGCCGCGCCTGATCCAGGCTGTAGCTCGGCATCATCTTGGTCTCGCGGAGGCTGAGCTCGAGCGCTCGTCGCTGCTCTTCCTCAAATGCCTTGCGTCTCTCGCGCCTTCGCGTCTCGGCAGCGCCTGGAAGCACAAGCTCCGCGGCCGGAGAAGTCGCAAGGCCGGTGTTGGACACCTCTGTCTGTGCGTGTGGGCCTTTTGCACTGTCGGGAGTTGTTTTCCGCACCGGTGTGTTCTCGGGGTCGGAAGCATATCCATCCCGAGAAGTTCGACGTGGAAGACTCGGCGATCGGGGCTTGGCTTTGCCCATGGCTGATGACGGACTGGCGCCACTGACGGCACCCGTATCTGTTGGCCTAATGATGGAGTCGAGCGGGACTGTATAGTAGACGATGCTCTCTAAGATGCGACGCGTCCGCTCCGCTTCTCTCTCGCTGGGTTTGCGCGTTAGTGTGGGCTCTGCCTTCTTGCCCTCTTTCGCTGTCGACTTGGCTGCTTCGGACTCCAAGCTCGGTGCTGCAGGTGACAGACTTGCACGACCTGAGAGCGAGTTGGCGCCCAGCGCCAGGCCAAGCACAATCGAGTTGGGTGGGACGCTAAGCGAAGCGTCTTGCAGGTTTGCTGAGAGCGGCTCAAGGTCGCGCAGATCGACGCTTGATTGGCACACCAGCTTCCACTCCTCCGCTGCTCGTGTTGAGGCGAGTTTGTCTGAAGTGGCACCTGCCAGAGGTGCAGGCGGCGGGCGCGCCCATACTGCGATTCGAAGCTGAGAGGCTTCCAGAGGCGCAGCTGGTGACAGCGTGCCTGGCGACAAGTTGAAATCGCGCTGCGGCAGGATCGAATCACCCCCTTGATAGCCCCACGAGTGATGTAGGCCGGGTTTGGAGTTCGGGCTGCGGTAAAAGACATTCTTGGATGCTGCTGCTTTTGCGGCCTTGTCAGTCGGACTGTCGCTGTCGACCACGGAGAGCTCTACGTAGCATTCGAGCATGCGCTCTTGCATGATCTGCGCGAGGCTCTTGTGCGAAAAGAGCGAGAAGCGTGAGGAGGGATGGATGCGGCCCGAGGCGCGCGTCGGACGCCGCGTATCATCTGATAAGCCCATTTGGCTTTCGTCAAAGCGAACGCTACGGAAGCTGCCGGAGGATGTCATGCTGGTGGTCCTGGCGCGATGTGACGGCCTGCGGATGGTGTGCGACGAGTGTGAGGAGCTGCGCGAGTCGGAGCGCGATAGCATGGTCGTGTTGGCGCCCAGCTCGTCGAGGAAGCCAGATGTAGACGAATTGCTTGGGGATCCGGATTGCATCCTCGCATCCCTGCCATCGCGAGTGCTGGAGGATCGTTTGAGAATTGGACGCGGGCTCGCCTCTGCGTGTAAACTGTCGGCGGAGCCTACCGAATGCGCGCTGCTGGCCGGTGTCAGCTCGTGATCCGACGTGCGGCGACGATTGGCAAGGACGGCAGGGCGTCCACGTGGGTCTCTACGCTTCCTTGCTGCAAGTGTTCTGCTCGCAGTCACGGGAGATGCGAGGTCGTCGTCGAGCTCGTCTGCCGACGGATCGCCGGACGAGTTTGGATCGAGCCGACTCCAGCTGGCACTCCTGCGGCGCGGATGCGCGACTTCAGTCTGTGCCTTGCTTTTGCCTTTGCTGTTGGACCGCGCAAGACTGAGCGTCAGATCGGCATCGTCTGAGGTTGTGTGGTAGCGACTCGAGCCGCCGGGGCGCTCGGAAGCAAGGGTCTGGAGCGCACGATCGCGTGTTGGTCTCAGTGAGAGATTGCGAACGAGGATGGCACAGATGTTGCCTATACGACGCTGTTCATGATGGACGGAAGCATCGGGCGTTGGTGCATCTGTCCCCAAAGCTGGGTCGGCATTTCGTGAGTGTGTACCAGCGGACATGGTCGTCACGGAGACGTCAAAGTGCGCGGGACGAGGCAGAATTGTGCTCCTGAACAGCGGACGGCGCGTCAGCCCTGGTCGTATCTACTTCTGCATCGTGCACCGAGGCAAGAAGCCACTGACAGTCGCCTTGTAGAGTCGATAAGGGAGTATGTTGGTCGACCTAGCGATGAGAAGAAAGATTGGATGCTGTGCTTGTAGAAGCGTGTGTTGCCCGACTCGGAGACCCTGAAGAGCGCCACGCTCGCGGCACGCCGGCACGCCCCTCTCGCCTCCACTCAAACACGAATCTGCAGGCCGTGCGCTCGGCTTCAGCATGTGAGGCCGCGTTTAATGACATCGTTGGGGACACCGATCTAACACAAGTTCATGCTTCCCGAGCACCGAAGACGCCCCAACTTCGAGTGCAAGCTGCCTTCTGCGCATGGCAATACACTTCACCGCTCTTGTTCCGTCTGTTGAGACGGAGCGGCCAGGCTTCTCAGTCGTCTGCACGACGGCGTTGGTCTGCGGGCAGCGACATGCCATTGGCTCATTGGCTCTGGTGTGTCGAAGCGATTTCAATTGCAAAAGAAAAAATGAAGTCCAAAAAAGGGTCCGCGAAAAGGACTCGAAGGAAGCGGCGGGACTCGATGCATCCGCACAAGGACATCATCGGAAGCAAGCGATTGGATGACTGCTGTGGATGGCGTGGGAAGGCTGACGGATGCTCCGACTGCCTGGTGTGTGTGGTTTCAAACCTCGGCGGATCGGCTGGAGACCGTGTGTCGATGAAACTGGAACGGACGATCCTGGATCGTGCGGCGCGGATACCTCGGATTCCAGACGACCGTTTTGGCGGGTGGAGGGCGCGAGGCACGATCGAGGCAGAAAATAATGCAGCGATGCAGGAACAGCAGGGCCCACGACATTGCCGTGGCATCGAAGCAGGGACCCTCGAACTTTGCCGTGCAGCTCCGACCCCAGATTCGTCGGCGGCGCAATGGACGGACGAGATGCAAAGCGAGACGGCATGGAAGGTCCGACTTGAGATCTGCGAACAAGCAGGCACGATGACGACGAAGCCATGGGATCGCGAACGTCCGTGTGTGCCTTCAAGATCGCGAGCAACAGCGCCCATCTCGCCGTCGCTCGAGCACTCGGCACGCGAGCTTGATGCAGGGCGAAGTCCCACGATTTGCCGTCCGCGCCTTGATGTTGCGAGCTCAGTTGGGCGAAACCCTGGAAGGGTCGCCAGACCCGAAGAAGGGAACGCACCAGGAACCCACGACTGACTCTGCATGCCAAACGGCTTGGCAAACGACGGGTCTGTGATGGGATCGATGCCGACGCAACGAGTGCTTTGCTATGCCGCCACATCATCGCTGCACGAAGCGAGCGCCAACAATGCGGCTGGCGGCTAAAGCTCTGGCGTCAAGCGCGGACTGCAACGCCCGAAGCGGCGGACTTTGGGATATAGAGCTTGTCATGAGAAGCAAGGATCCCCAGAATGATCGGAGCCTCGCGATCGCCCATCTCGTACCGAGGTAGCGGAGTAAGCGGCAAGGCTGAGTGCTGTGCTGTTTCTAGTTCGCCTTTTCCGCCGATGCTAAGCGAGCCTGAGCGAGAGCGGACGCTTTGGCGCATGATCTGGACGAGAGTCCATGCTGTCATAGCTAAGGGCGGAGTTGGCAAATCCGACTTTTTTTCGGCATGGTCCACCAAGAGCGAAAAATAGGGCTTTGGTGTCCCAAGGAGCTGATCATGACGATCCCATTCGGATCAGCGATTGCACTCCGCTTCGCCTGAATGGCCGCGATTCAGCTAGAAATGTCGAGCCGGCCAAGTCGCCGCGGCCTGTTGAGAAGACTGCTATGATCTTTCAAAGCAGCGCATCGAAAAAGCAATCGCCGAATGACGACAAGTCCCTCTTCCTGCGATCGAAGCGAGTTGATCGCTCGATCTGCCCACAGCGACGAGATGCGTCCGCGCAAGTTGCTTTTGGAGTGGCGAAGATGCTAGGGACCGAGTTTCATAGCGGCGGTGTCTGAGGAGCCGAAAAAGGCCGGTGGCGATAAACTAAATTCGACGAGACTTGCGCTAAGTTAGCGCTGCAGCCACGCGTGCCTGGTGAGCTACTAGTGCCATCCCGCTAAACGATGATAAGGGTCTAAGGCGTTATGTTTGGTGGAGACCGGACCGGAACAAGCGCGTGAGAGTGTATATCGAACGGTAGCATCGACGTCCTAGCCACCAACGTGCCAAGGCGTTCGACAGCATGGACAGCCTAGCCCAGCAAGAAAGGGTGCACGCCTTGCACGTTTTGCCGTCGACAAGATGCCCACTTCCGGTGCTGCCTGTCAGATTGGCTCAAGCCCACCGGCAAGACTCGGAGGCAGCAAGTCCCGCCTGGCCGGATGAGGCGCATAAATTCGGCCTCAAGGATCCGCCAGGTGCACCACGGGATGGAGCATCTGCACGCGGCGGCTCAATGAGTGCATGTTCCTGCCACGTCCTGGATGCCAATCATTTGCGGAGCACACATGGGTTGGCGACAGGATGCAAAGAAGAAAGCACGCCCGACAGTGGCTGCCAGGAAAGGGAAACAGCCAGCTCAACGGTCGAGAGTCCGACGCCGAGATGCAGGCGCACATGGCCGATCGACCGGCCACGGGCTACTGAAAATTAGAAAAAAAGGGAGTGGGACAGGCACATCCACGCTGGAAGAGCTGCACCACTCTCGGAATTGCATCGGCGCTCTGGGCTGGCTTGGCCTGGCTTGGCCTAGCCTTGCCACGCTTCTGCCGTTGGTGGCTGTCGTATGTAGCCTGCGCAGCTGGACGCTGTGTACTCCGACAGACCGGCAGCATAGAATGAGCCGAGCGCTCATGACAAGCTTAAGGCGACAATTTCCAACGGCAAAGTTAGTGTTTCGGAGCTGATCCGCTCCATGCGTCTGAACGGCACGGCACGATTTGGTGTGGATTGGTTTGGATTGGATCGGATGCGTTGGTCATGGCGGAACGGGTGCTCGATGGTCGGGCGGGCCGATCAGCCGTTCATGCTCTCGACGCCGCTATTCCGCGTGCGCTCGCTCTCGGCGGAAAGGAGCGACGAGCGTCGGCAATTCTGGCGACTTGCGAGGCGCATCCCAGCCATCGAGCCATGTCCGCCGCTTCCGCCACGTCGCACGTCACTAGCGACCGAAAAACAAAGCTCGACTCGCATTCCACGGCTCTCGTGCCTGCGGTAGAAGCAGCAACACCCTGCGATCGATCAGCAGGGCGAGTGCTGTACGATGTTGACTTTGCACTGCCGGCGGCGGCCATCCGCAGACTGGCCCGGCTGTGCCGCGCCAGGCTGGCGAGACGAATGCAAGCCGTCGACGTGGAAGCAGCATCGCGACCCTACGACCCTGCGCCGCGTCCTGTCCCACGGTCCAGCTCGTTGACAATAAAAATAAATAACCAGATAAATTAAATTTTAAAAAAATGCGTTAATAAAAAAACTAGACATGCGGCGCAGCGAAGAAGTGGCGAGGCTAGCTACTGCACGAGTGAGGCGCGCTAAAGTGCCACATTTGAGTTGGGCTCCTCGCTAAGTCCAAAGTCACGGCAGCCGGTCGGTCCACCCGAAGTGCTGCGGCGTGGCAGACGGACGGGCAGGCACATGCTCCGCCCTAGTCCTCGTCCTCGTCCTCTTTGCTTGTCGCTCGGACTGCCGTGGCTCTTTCAAGAGCAACCGAGCAGACGCACGCTCTTCCGCTGCTCGCCCGCCCTCAGCGTCATCAACAGAGACAGGGACCCTTTCGGTGCAGCAGCCTCTCTCTGCCTTCCAAAACCCTCGCTCTCAACGCCCAAACGGCTCACGGCGACCACCATAGACA